TACATACATAGCCCTATATTGGATGTACAATGAGTGTAAGTCAGGATGCTACATACATAGTCCTATATTGGATGTACAATGAGTCTAAGTCAGGATGCTACATATATAGCCCTATATTGGATGTACAATGAGTGTAAGTCAGGATGCTACATACATAGCCCTATATTGGATGGTCGGTGTTGCAGTGGATAGCACACTTTCCTTTCCCCAAGACGGCCGGGGTTTGATTCCCTGATCGGACATGAAACGTATCGGGTCACCTGCCCAACCATGTGGGTTTTCTCTGGGTACTCCTGTTTTCTTAAAATTTCTTTGTACTTTTCCCTTAACTTACTTAGTTAAACCCTTTAAAAAGCCCAAATTTCTCTGGACAAATTTTGGCAGGATATCACGGGTTAATTTACTGTATTATAAGAAATATTCGTGCTGTGTTGTTAACTTTAGGTCATAGCACAATCAGCTTTAACCCTTTCACCCCTATGTAGTTTTGTGGACTCTACCTTGCATTGATCTGGATGAGTCCATTTAAGTCTACAGTGGTGAAAGGGTGAAGAAAGAGGTCAGCTCCAATAGGTATCTACCCACCTTCTTACGTTTATTTGTGATTCACAGTTGATTTCTCTAATTTTCTCATGTTTCAGGGGACTACTTTGGGATTCTTCTGGATGAGAGAGTTACCTCATTTCCGTTTAATATTTTAGACAACCCCATGTATGTGGGGTCCACTCTAAATTTCCTGGGTGCTGCTTTAGTGTAAGTGATTTACTTTTCTCGTTCCTGTATTATAATGCAAGAAAAATGTGTCTAGTAATGATGACGATGAAGATTATATATATTATAGAATTGTCAATCATGATGAATGGCTTTTTATGATGATGCTGATAATGGTCTTTTGATTGTAAGATTTTATGTATGTTTAAAAAAAGTTGAAAAAATAAACAATTAAAAAAAAATGAAAAATGTGTCCAATCCAAGCCAATGTTAGTGGTTGTATGCAGCTATTTATAAATTCAATGAAACTTAATTTCAATGAAAGGACTTCAACATATTGAACCTGTAGCCAATCAGATCTCTTACATATTAAACCAATAAGATATCTTCATACAGTGTATTTTGATTTATCACATAACTGACCCATTTTACTATGTCATTTGGCCAAGTCATAAATATGGTATTACACATGAATAATAAAACCTAAAGGTGCTGCGATTGGTCAAAATCGCGGGAACATATTCCTACGCCACTAATGGTACTACTATTATTTACCATACCACATCATACATTTACTGTTATTTTAAATCAATGTGAAATGATAATTTTGTGATTAATATTTTCATTGTATTGAAAATTATTCATTATTTTTTTTTTAAATAAAAAAATAAACCTGGAACTACTTTGCACTGAGCGGAACGACAATTCTAGTATTGGAGTACTTTGGTTTTAACTTTATATATTCAGTTGAGCATCATTGTGTTTGAAGGTTTTTTTCTTCAAATAATGAATGTTATGTGATACAAATATAGAATCTTACACTCGTGTCCATATCATATTGAATTCATTAAACTCTATCAATAAATTCAATTTGGCATGGCCACTCATGCAAGATCCTCTATTAATCAATTAGAAGTCTTCTACATATGTTGCCCACTGTCCAGCCAATTAAAGGATTCCTACATGTATTGCTAAATTTTCTGCAATGTTTCTTGTTAGATCAGGGCTTTTCTCCAAAACAGATACCGTTCTCTAGGGATTGTTGATTACAGAAGATATACTATATTTTCAGGATAATTCACAAGTTTACTACATACAATTTTGTTTTCATTAAAAATGTATATTCTGATTATGCAAGACTCCAACACATTGAACCAGTAGCCAATAAAATCTCTTTTACATATTAAACCTTATATCTACATGTTATGCTTATCCAATCGGATGTCCTCTGCGTACTGTTCCTAGCCAATAATAGCCATTCTACATGTATTTGTATTTGAAAAAGTTTTTTCGTTTAGGTCAGGGCTGTTCTCCAAAACAGATACTGTTCACTTTTCCTAAAAGTCCAGATAAAACAAGCACTCTGACTCTATCAAAATTGAGCTGAAAGGTGTAAGGATGGTTGAAATAATGTATGGACGATATACTTCGATTTCAGGATAATTCATCCGACATTGGCTGCTACATTGTATATACTATTTTGTTTTCACTAAAAGGCCTAGTAGAATTTAGTGATATGTACTGTTAAAGTCAGAAATGACTAGCTCTATATAAGGCACGGTAGTCTAGTGGTAGGACGCCGGGCTCGTGACCGAAGGGTTGCGTGTTCGAGTCACGTCACGGCACTGTGTTGTGTCTTTGAGCAAAATACTTTACTCCGCTTGTTCCAGTCTACTTAGCTGTAAATGAGCACGTGGTTGGGCAGTGCTACAATTGTTGAATGCTAGCTGTTAGTGCCGAAATGGCAGCTCCGGCTGTATGCTCCCCAGGGAGTTGAGAAAGGTATTGGTTGGTTGCAAAAGCCGTATAACCACGGATAATAATTTGTGAACCGTTTTGAGACGACCAACGAACTAGGTTGTGATAAAGCCGTATAAGAACCTCAAATTATTACTATTATTATAAGCAAAGCAAACATATTTCCCATTTTTTTTTCTTTCTACTTACCCCATTTTTTTTGAGGATGATAGCGGAAACACTAGTAATTTTTCTTTTGGCCTAAACGTATATTAAGGGTGTTTTGGCTGTTGATTGTTTTACATGCATGATGGTAACACTGTGAGACGGGAATCCCATAAGTTTTTGGTAAAAGTTTGTTTTGTCTTCCATCTAAACAGAACGCTTTCCGAAATACAGTGTTTTTTGATGAATTGTCTACCTTTTTAGACCACCAAGTTGTTGTACCACAAGAGATTATTTTCATGGGTGATCCAAATTTCCACTTAGACGATCTATCTAATGTTGATGCTCGCCAGTTCTCTGGTCTGAACCAATCCGGTGATCATCTTGCTGTCTACACAACACTGAATTTTAGTAAGCCAGTTTGTGCAGGGAAAGAAGCGAATTTCCGGAAATTCCGCGAAATTTCAATACCAGATTTCAACAATGACATTCAGTCTTGTTCTGCTCTTCAATCTACTGAAGGCGAGGTTGATGATCTTGTTGAAGCATACACATCTGGTATAGAAGCCCGTATAGAGAAACACGCACGTCTGCAAACTAAGGTGATAACTGTGAGACCAAATGCCCAGTGGTATTATGAAAATCTCCGCGTAAATAAACAGAACCGTAGAATAGTAGAGAGACAGTGGCGACGGATCAAATTAACCGTTCACCAACAGATTTATAGAGAGAATGTCGGCTAGTTGGTTCACAGTCAAAGAAGGCTTATTATTTCCATAACAACATTCAATCGGCCTACCGCATGGGACACTCTACTGAGATGGCCCTCCTACGTGTACATAATGATATAGCTTCTGCATTGGATAAAAAGTTCAGAGCGGTGCTTGTCATGCTGGACTTGTCAGCTGCATTTGACGCCATTGACTATGGCATACTTAATAAACGTCTGGAATACTCTTATGGAGTGACTGATACCGCACTATGCTGGATACAGTCTTACCTGAGTGAACGACGACAGTGTGGTGCCATCGGATCTTCCACCTCACATGACAAAGTACAGATTTCGGGGTTCCTCAAGGGTCTGTGAAAATATTGTATGTACTCCAAACTGATTGGAGAGATTTGTCGTCGCCATAGCCTTCGCTATCATTGCTATGCCGATGACACACAAATTTACATGGTCATTAAACCACAGGACAGTGGAATACAGTCTCAGAAAGTCTGGAAGCTTGTCTGACAGATATCAGTATCTGGATGAACGCCAACATGCTTAAGCTTATAATCAGGAAAAGATAGAACTAATCGTCTTTTCCCCAAAGTGTAGCAAACAATGGCTTTCCAGCTCTAGGTCGGTGCCAGAACTATTGAGACTGCAGCACAGCTATTTACTCGTACTCGAAAGAGAGAGCACATCACACCTGTGCTTTATTTGTTGCACTTGTTACCTGTAAGATACAGGTCGCAGTACAAAATTCTGGTGTACACATACAAGGCACTGAATGGAACAGCTCCTCAGTACCTTCAGGAGCTGTAACCCTGTATCAGCCGTCACGATCACTGCGGTCGGTGTCAGAATCTTTGTTGTGTGTCCCAAAATCTTGTACTGTGACCTACTGAAACAGATGCTTTGGGAGGGTTTCGGCTATGTTGTGGAATAGCTTACCATCTGCTATTAGAAAGTCAAATATCCTGGCCAAGTTCAAGAGGGACATCAAAACTTACCTCTTCACGTCTGCATTTTAGAATCTTTGCAAATACGTCATGTAAATACCACACTTTTATTTGTTCAATTATGTGCACATTGCTTGCTCTAATGTATAAAAGTGATTGTAAGCCTTTGTTTTTTGTTTTCACAATTATAACCATTTCTATTATTCATATGTTGTAAAGCGCTTTAGAGTAATTTTACAAATTATATAGGGCACTATATCAATGTTGTATATTATTATCATTATTATTATTATTATATTGTAAATTGCAGAAATGCTAGCCAAACAGGTATCTTGGTGTCGATGTTTGTGGCCATTGCCTACAGAATTACCTTAATGTATGAAGGGTAAGTAGAAAAGATAATGAAAGGATGATGGAATAAGAAAAGTAGGAATAAAAAATAAAAAACTCATCTGCATTAGAATATTCATCACTCTGTTGTGTTCTTAAAAAAAAAACTCTGCATTAAAATCCAATGCATGACTTTGATGTTCACTTTAAAAAATAATTGTGATATGTGATAATATTCATTTGTATTCATCACTTTAAATGTGGGTTTTTTAATGCTGTTATGTAGTAAGTCATGTCATATTTTTAGGTCACCTGAGACAAAGTCTCAAGTGACCTATTGCGATCGCCTTTTGCCCGGCGGCGTCCGTCCATAAACAATTTACATTTTCGACTTCTTCTCAAGAACTGCTGAACCAATTGTAATGAAATTTTGCAGGAACCTTCCACGGCCAATGGTCAACCAAAATTGTGAAATATATAGTCCAAAGTCCCCAGGGGCCTGAGGGGCACGGCCAAAAATGGTCAAATTGGCTAAAATTTGAAAAAAAATCTTCTCAAGATCCAGATATGGTAGAATCAAATACTTTTCATAGATGGAAGGGTCTTAAGGTACTTTACCAAAATTGTGAATTTCATGACTCCCCTGGGGAGGGGGTAAATTTAACTATAGTTTATATAGGGAAATCACATTTTTGACCAACATTTGTTTAATTTCCATTGGAAGTAATTCAATTTGGGTTATCATGACCAGTGTAGTGGATAGCAGTTTGATGGTATGCACATATCAACCCTGACTGACCTCCAAATTTTTTATTATGGTTTATATTGGCAAATGATATTTTGGATGATACATGTTGATAACCTCATTATAACACTGAGTTGACAGTTTGATACTTTGAAAATTTTGAGCCAGCCCTACCCCTAAGGGCTGTAGGGCAAAGCCCAAGGAGTCAGTGTGCTAAAATTTCTTCATTTTCCTTGTTTAGAATCAGGTGCTAGTTTCAAATACTTTTCAGTCTTAAATCTGTATGCTAGATATTGAATAAGGTGGTTTTATTGTTTTTTGTCACTTTGAATAATATTTCTGTTCGTGTTTTAAAAACAAAAATCAACTCTCTGTATAAATATATCAGAACTCAGGTGACTGTTAAGGCCCATGGGACTCTTGTTTATATATTTCAATTAATATCGCAAATTGTGTTGCAAGACTTAATACCATAGACATGGCATCATGATATATAATAAGTCAAATGTTTTGAGATTTTTTTTTTATCACAAATGTACATTCTTGGTAATATGAGAAAAATTATGCGAAGCTATTGCCATTTCATTGAATATTTTGAATCCCAAAGTTTCCTCTGAACCTCCTCACTTCATGCAGGTGGTGTTTAATTAACTAAAAGAGATGTCAGGAAAAGTTTTTAAAAAATATAAAAAAAAAACAAAGAAGTTAAGTACAGCTATTGTTAATCTGTAATCACTCATAGAGTGTTAGCTAATTACTGCATTGTAATTTGTATTAACTGTGGTGTTGAGAAGTGACAATAATTTTCCCTGAAGCATGGCAATCCTACCTAGCCTTTTGTCCGAGATCAGACGGTCGGTGGTTTTGCCCTCCATTTCAACTTACCTGTAAAAATGTTACCTGTGCCCAGCTAGTGTTTGTCACCAAATCAGCAGTCATGACAACAGATTAACGATTTTAATCATTTTAGAGTAGGTAAAAATTATGTTGTTTTTAGCTCACCTGGCACGAAGTACCAAGTGAGCTTATGCCGTGGTGCGGCATCCGTCCGGCGTCCGGCGTCAATATTTTACTTTAAACGACTTCTTCTTAATAACCGAAAGGCCTAGGGTGATGATATTTGTCCAGAAGCAAACTGGGATAAAGGGCTACCAAGTTTGTTCAAATAAATGACATTCACCCATTTTCAAGGTCACAGGGGTCAATTGTCTTAAAAAATCTTTAAACAACTTCTTCTGAATAACTTAGAGGCCTAGGGTAATGCTATTTAGGCAGTAACATGCTAGGATAAAGGGCTTCTAAGTTTTGTTAAAATGAATGACCTTTACCTATATTCAAGGTCACAGGGGTCAAATATGTTTAAAACCTTTCAACAACTTCTCAATAACCAAGAGGCTTAGGATGATGCTATTTGACCAGTAGTATGCTGTAATAGAGGGCTACCAAGTTTGTTCAAATAAATGACCTTCACCCATTTTCAAGGTCACATGGGTCAAATATGTTTAAAACCTTTAAACAACTTCTTCTGATTAACCAAGAAGCCTAGGATAATGATATTTGGCCAGTAACATACTGGGATGAAGGGCTACCAAGTTTGATCAAACAAATGACTTTCATCTATTTTCAAGGCCACATGGGTCAAATATGTTTAAAACCTTTATACAACTTCTTCTGAATAACAAAAATTCCCAGGATGATGATATTTGGCCAGTAACATGCTGGGATAAAGGGCTACCAAGTTTGTTCAAATAAATGTCCTTCACCCATTTTCAAGGTCACATGGGTCAAATATGTTTAAAACCTTTAAACAACTTCTCCTCCATAACCAAGAGGCCTAGGATGATGCTATTTGACCAGTAGCATGCTGTAATAGAGGTCTACCAAGTTTGTTCAAATAAATGACCTTCACCCATTTTCAAGGTCACAGGGGTCAATTGTCTTAAAAAATCTTTAAACAACTTCTTCTGAATAACTTAGAGGCCTAGGATAATGATATTTAGGCAGTAACATGCTAGGATAAAGGGCTACTAAGTTTTGTCAAAATGAATAACCTTTACCTATATTCAAGGTCACAGGGGTCAAATATGTTTAAAAACATTAAACAACTTCTTCTCAATAACCAAAAGGCCTTGGATGATGATATTTGGCCATTTACATGCTGGGATGAAGGGCTACCAAGTTAATTCAAATGAATGACCTTTGCTAATATTCAAGGTCACAGGGATCAAATATGTTTAAATCTTTAAATGACTTGTTCTCAATATTCAAAAGGTCCAGGGTAATGATATTTAGCCAGAAATATGCCGGGACGGAAGGCTTTAAACTTTCAATGTCGCAGGCGTCATATGTTTAAATCATTTAATAGATTCAAATGGATCGAACACAGGTATTTTGCCTGAAGCAGTATATTAGTCCACTTTTAAGATTACAAGTGTGAGATTAATAACCAGGTGAGCGATTCAGGCCCATTGGGCCTCTTGTTGTTATTTTCAATCGATCATATATGACCGACAACTTCAAACGGGAGGTAATCCAATATGGCAGACCTGAAACTCGAGAAAGATAACCCAAGAATGACTTGTTCCTGCGTTTAGTGTGCACCCCATTTTTGACATGACAATATTTACCTAAAAAAGTGTGCACTATACGCGCAAATTTACGGTACGTTTTATTTTTTCTAATTACAGCCCCTTCACAGAATACATCTATAGTCGGAGAACAAAAGAACGGTGATACCCCGACCCTGTCAATGGAAGGAAAATACAGCCTCACTAAGATGTCATTGACATTTTGAATTATTTATTTTCATGATCAGTACCTAGTTCCTAATCGGAGTTGATATGTTTTATGAGGTCCTACCTTTTACTGACATCAATGTTTGTTTTCCTCTTTTTTCAGCATAGAACAAATATCAAAATGGTTTATTTTTCGAAGAATATTTGTCAACTTTCAGTGTTTAGCAGATACTAATGTTCGTGATCATTCCATAGATTTACTACAATTGTTATATCTATTGAAAAATGTTATGCCTTCACTTTTATGAATATAAATTTACTGTAAAAAATGAAAGATATATTGTTTTGTAATGTTGAATGATGATTAAAGGCATTATCATGTAAAAAAAAACTTTCTGTAAGGACAAAGTGTAGTATTTTTTGTTTGTTTTTGTTTGATGTTCTTGATACATGTAAATGCTACAACTTCTAAACCTTGAGAATGGGTTACAGTGATTCCTATTGAAAACAAACTAAAAATTTAACTAATGCATACACTAAATTACCTTCTGATATCATACACAAGCTATTAAGTCTGCAGGGACCAATTTTCAAACATGATGGAGCAGGAAACGGGAGTAGTAGTATTTCTGAGTGTCATTCTGTTTGGATTAAAAATCATTAATGTAGTGGAATGTTTTGGACTGTTTACCATGGAATTTATCTTTTTGGGGATAATTTCTTCATTTGTTAAGCGTGTATATGAAAATGTTACTACAGGGAGAGAGCTGCTATGGGTTAAAATGCATAAACTACTTAAGTGCAAAAACTTTTGCACTTCATTGAAAAAAACTGGACATAATGGCAAAAAATCACATAATGGCAACAACTTTTTAACTTAACGCAAAAATACGTCTTTTGTCATTATGAAGTAATCTTTTTACATTATGCAGCAATATTTCAATGAAGTTCAAATGATGGCTTATCAAGATAAATTATTTCAAATTTGCCAAAAATTTATGCATGCCAACTCGATTCAGCTTCAAACAGTACTAATATTCCAATTGTTCAACAACCTAATTTCTTGGCGATACATTTGATTCAAAATTATCCTTTCAATTTCATACAATCCATTTTAAAAGAATTCATTTTTCAAGTATTCTGAACGTTCTATACAATACAAACCGGGGAAACAAACCCCAACATCTTGCTGCGTCTATCGTCCTCTCGTTTAATAAAATCTTGATTTGTTTCCATTCAGCTTTATAATCGTATTTGAAAAAAACCTTTATCCAATTCATAATCATCCTCGATACTCCAGGGGTTATGCTCACTGCTACCCTGGACTATGTCATACCAAAAATGCAGGCTCGGTGTTCGCCACCTTCTTGATGAGGCAAGACTAGTTTGACCCTTTGATATTCATTAAAGAATCTGGCGGTTGTGTAACGGTAAAATTGACTGGCTTTCAAGTGGGGTGCCGCTCCTCTGTAATCTTCAAAGGGCAGGTATCCGCCTGGCGATTGGTGAGGTTTTTAGCTTATGGCATGGTGCGGCATCCGGTGTCTGTCCGGTGTCCGGCGTCCGTTCGGCGTCAACTTTTTACTTTAAACAACTTCTTCTCATTAACCAAAAGGCCTGGGGTGATGATATTTTGCCAGAAGCATGCTGGGATGAAGGGCTTCGAAGTTTGTTCAAATAAATGACCTTCATCTATTTTCAAGGTCACAGGGGTCAAATACATTAAAATCTTTAAGCAACTTCTTCTGAATAACCAAGAGGCCTAGGGTGTTGATATTTGGCCAGTAACATGTTGGGATGAAGAGCTACCAAGTTTGTTCAAATAAATGACCTTGACTTATATTCAGGGTCACAGGGGTCAATTATGTCTTAAATCTTCAAACAACTTCTTCTCAATAACCAAAAGGCCCAGGGTACTGATATTTGGCCTGTAGCAATCAGGGCTACCAAATTTGTTCAAATTAATGACCTTGACCCACTTTCAACCTAATGTCATTGTTTGACATTCAAGGTCACACTGATATTCTGCCTGTAGCTGTATTTTAGTCCACTTTTAAGTTTACAAGTGTGAGATTAATACCAGGTGAGCGATGCAGGCCCATTGGGCCTCTTGTTTTTTTATCTAGACCAAATATGCTATGACATACATTCAAGGGGTGCATAGAGCGTAAGTGATCATGACGGCTGGAGTATCCAGGAAGGACCCGTGATTGCGGAATAAAAATTATGCCTGTAGGTTATTTTCCAGATGAAGCCAAAGTCCGGAACCGATTTTTTAGTCGGTATTTCATCACACTATACTGACTTTTCGAGCGATCCTAGCCCGCAATCACAACACAGTCAGAGTTTCATGTGAAATATGTCGTTTATTTCAACGAAAACTACATAATTGTAAACTGTAAGGTATTTTCCTTTATATATCTGAAAATAACAAGTTAATTTTCACTAAATTTCTAATTATATGTGAAAACCGATTGCGGCGTACAAGTATTACCCCCTTAAAACGATACAATAACACAGGTCGATAGTACACTTATATTTACTTCGAATGAAATAATTAAAGACCAAGGAAATAATGCTTATTTTTTACTACGGCCAGGGTTAGGATCGAAATGAACGACCATTTGAGAATAATGCATAACTTTTACCGTATTGCTGAACTGGTGCTTTGATACATCACTCCAGGGACACATGAAGCCAGTATATACGTCTCTGATCACTCATATAATAATCAAAGACACAATATGAACTCTCAATATTAACGATATTTAATAATGAACAATAAGTACGTCCCGATGTCGTATACAACTTAAATTACGTAAACTATATCCCC